AAGACCGGTGGTGGCCTCGTTTGATCAAAGAGGCTTTGGAAATCTCTAGGAGGCCTGCAAACCTCAATAGAGATGATGGGCTCCGTCTTAGCAACACCTGGAGACGGGCCGTTGCCCCCCACCAATCTGGTCCCGCCCTGCGGAGACACACCCCCGCGGACGGCCAATGACGTGGCCGCCCTTTGGATCATTCTTTTTTCAGTATTTCTGCCTTTTCCCCTCCACACAGATGCATCTTCCAGGTGTCCATCCAGTTCAGTTTTCTATTATCTACCTTTCCGCCCCACTCCCCTTCCCCTCGCTCATCTGGTCACCCGACATCGCCCCTTTCCTTGTCCGCCAATCACGGGACACCTGCCCTCCTCCTTTTAGCCGCTGATGCGCCCAGTCGGCCCACGCCCCATTCCTTAGACCATGAGACATTCCAACCTCTTGGCAGCGGTATAGCTTTGAAAAAGGCCACAGCAAGATGGCTGAAATGTCAGTACAATTGACCAAGATGCAGCTCATCCCGGATAGCCAAGAATGCATTATTAATAACTATATGCATTACATTGGAACACACATTATATTTTACTTAAAATTTTGTTTCTAACATAACACACTTTAACTACTGAAGTAGTATTTTTATCTTATTTAGATTAACATTATTTCCAATATCATGTTTCCTTGGTCATGTTTTCCCAATGGTGAAAATGAATGTAAAAATACTCAAATATGCACCAATTAAAATAATTGTTCTAGCATGAAATTGGCATCCAGCACACTTACAAATACAGTCATTCACAAATCTACCATTATTGCATTTCATAATTACCTGCAAAACATCAATGTAGATGCCTAAGTACAGCGGACTGAGGCAATCTAAGAGAGTGGTATGCAACCAATGAGTCAGTTTTTGATCCCAACTATAGCAGGCAAGTAGATGACGCATACGTCTAGCGGTTTTATCAACTATAACACGCCTCTGAACCGGCTCATTCCAGTTTCCTGAACATGTCAAACGTGCCAAACGATCACTGTGAAGTGCACGTACTACCTTGGAAAAGACACGCTGCTGTGTCATGGTCCAATTGGTCCTGTAAAACATACAAAAGAAGTCTCAGAATTATTTTGCTTAGTTAAAAGACCAACTTGTTCTTACCGTAGTATTTCTTAGATATGCTTATTCACCAATAATACACATTGTTTTACAAATGATTTCTATGACAAATTGTGGAACAATGCATCACTGTTCACCGTGAACCAGATTTGAACATGTTCCTGAAAAAGTAGTTGGAAATATTTTATAACTATCAAGATCTGTACATGTACGTTGTAGATGGTAACAGCAGGAAATCCTAGTATTCACCTCATTTAAAAACCTAATGCACCGCATATCATTATAATCACTGAATTTGTTTGTAAACAAACATGCTTCAAACAACTGCTAAACACTGCATTTTGACATCACTAAACTTAGTATTTAAAAATCTGTCAATATTCGAGCTTTGCTTTACTAACAATACACCACACACCATGTTTGCTCACACTACACCATGAAGATTTTGAAACCAAGTAATGAACAAATGATGCCAAATAAGCATTTATTCCATTAATTTTAAGATTATATTACAATTTAATGTTTACACTACAACTACAACTGGTTAATATCAGCATGTAATAAAATACTCCCTCTCAACAGGAACCCAATATCTTTCAGCAAAAATCAGGTAAGTTAGTGGAGTAGAAAGCTCAAATTTCTTTGTAAACAAAAACCATTAGTGTTTAAAATATATAGATATGCATGAAGAATTGATCTTCACACATTTTCAATAAGGGCATATAAACTCTTGGGGGTTAAGCTAAAAAATAAAACAAAAACAATCTCGCATCAAAAGTATGGAGAATGAGCATCAATTAGTTTGTTCACAGTAACATTGTAGGAATTGGAAATTCCCTCAGTCAACTGGGAAACTGTATGGCTATTTGGGTTAAATCAGTTGTTTCTTCAAACAGCAAAGATGGATCTGAAGAGGTAGCATTTCAGAACCATGTTTTCTTTACTTCTAAGGATAGTTCAAACAAGTGGCTTAGTGAAAATAGGAAGTAAGTCCTGGAAAGGAATATATCGCCTCAGTGCCACAAATTCCAGCACTAAGCAGCTTGAAAAAAATATCGCCAGCCAAAGGTCATAATCAAAGACGTCTCCCCTTAGGTGAAGATAGCAGACCCGGAACAGGGACCTTACTGATGACCTTGTGCCACCCAGTTTCACTGCAGAAACAAAGGCTGAGCCCTGCATGGGCTACAACTGGCGGCAGTGACATGCAATTGCTTGCTTCAGTTTTAAGCTTTGTTTTACTTGATATTCTGCGGAACTAAGTGCGTTGAGTTCTACATAGGCGACAGAAAGCATGTGCCGGCCACAGCCTGATGATATCCACTGTGCCCCAATTATTCATCATTATCAATCATTAGCCGCAATCGCCATCCCACTACCAAAAGTATCTTGTATGTAGGCAAGTAAAAGGGCTTTCACAGAATCAAACAGCATCCCAACATTGGCATTAATGGGTGTCACGACTTCATTATGACACTTAGAGACAGAGGACAATGCAGATTCAAGTATGGAAAAAGCACGAACTCTGGAGAAGCATTTAGAGAAATTATTAATGAAAAATGAACGAAGCAGACAATTGAAAATAATAGATTTAAGGACAAATGAAGATTGAAATTTTCAGTTCATGCAGTTAATGTATTTTGCAGCCTCTAAATTAATAAAATCAATCATTATTGAAGAAATTCTATTTAATTGGATATACTGAACTAAAAATGTTAGTCCCCAGTTCATTATAACTGAAGTGGACTATATTCAGCAACAAAAAATACCATCCTCTTGTACGTAATAAAAATTCTTTTCCAAAACACTACAAGATCAAACAAACAGATTGCAGGAGAATAACCAGTATAAATATTAAATACTACAATTAAAACAAAACCTATAACATTGAAAAACTTACTTATCAACTTGCTCTTCCCAGTCATCATCTTTTTCTCCAGGATTTACTGCTTCAATATATTTTTCACATTCTGCCATAGATATAGTGACAGAATTGAGGTCATATGGAGGTATAGGCACTTCTTCAACATATTCCACATCGACATCCTTCTCATCTTGCCTTTGGAAGTTAATGATCAAATAATAATAACAATTTTGACACATTGGTTCTCAAACTTTAAAAAAAAAAGTTAATTCTAATTTTTATGTTAAAAGCTAGAAATCATTTTGAAATGTATTAAATTATGCTAACTTCACATACCCTAATGGAGGTACTTGATGAACAAATAAGGATTTGGTAGGTTTGGCATACGTATTTTCCGAGCGCCAGTTACCGGGTTTTGAATACGCGTGATCCATGAGGACAACATTCAATTCTCGCCCCTGCAAGCAACAGAAACATTTGATGTAGCTACTAGACACATCACAGTGAAATTATCAAGAGAAAAACCACAACTATCACACCTCTTGTACTATACGCGCAAGTTTTCTTGATATTCCACAGCAAGAGGTGCGGGTAGTTCTGGCTACATCATGACTTAAAATAGTGTACCAACAGTGGGCATGACCTTAACTCGCCAATGCATGCCACAAGAAAAACTACGATTGTTTTGAAAATACAAGGTGGTTGTTGCCAGCATTGTAAATTGGTATGTACAATTCCGAGTCGAACCTAAGTATCTCGACATGCAGTGCTATTCAGGGCTGGGTGAGGACTAGGGAGCTCATGTTTCAAGAAAACTTGTGCGAGTAATAATCATAACAACTCCAATTAAGAAGTTAAAATACTGAATCAAGGACCAGTTCCTGCCATGTGGTTGAAAGTATACACAGGATGGAAAAAAGAAAGCTACAATAATACACCTTACAATAACACTTACTAATATACCTTACAATAACACGTTTTTATTGAATGCACATAAATGCAGTTACCCAATAATTCATTTACTGTGCAGGTTGGACGATTTCGTTGAGGTTGGAGGTGCTAGTTGTAATATGTATGCGTTTCAAATGAGATCTGCTACTAAACAATACTACTGGTCAATACAAACAGAAGCGAGTAGAATGCTCAAACTTTCACAAGGTTTCCATTCCTTTATACATAAGCATGTCAAAATTCACAAAAATACACATGCAAATGTCAATAACCAGTTAACAATGAAAGCAGTCATTTCAATGTTCTGAGATTCAGCAAGAGGCATCAACACAAATCTGGCAAGATATGGACACATTTAGTTTCTTAGTTTAAATGTGTTAAATTTGAAGATGGAGATAGATCTATCACTACATCCTTACATCAATCACATCATACTTAGAATACTATAAATCATTTTTAACTCAGAGACGTAAGACAATGCAAAAATACTGTTGCAATAATGTTGGGTTTTAAATATTATACTTACTGTTTGTCGAGCTAATTGGCGAAGAAATGTTGTGAGTTTAGTGCTAGTGTCTTCACTGCTATCACTTGTAGGGCTAGGCACATTTGATGAATATTCCGAAGGTGTTGGAGTATACGATGCCTGAAAACAATAATGTACAAATATTTTATATAAAATGTAAAAACCAATTATCTTTCTGTTAGTGAAAAAGAAACTTATATGAAAAGGTGTAATACAAAATGAGAACTTACATTCAATTATAGTATGCACAATTTTAGCAACAGATCATGGCATGCATGTTTAAGTCAGGAAAAATTGGAAGAGATATCTTAGAATTAAAGGCATTGTGCTGCACTTCTCATTAAAACATTATTTACATGGACTTTCATGTAAAATTTTAGAAAGGAACACTTGTTATATTAAACTTAAAGAGTTAAATTATATTATATCAGCACATCATTCTCACACACATTGCCCTCTAAGACTCGGAATTTCACAATTTTTTCCTAAGCTTTCCCATTCACTTGACACAATTGGAGAAAATTACTCCGAACAGAAATTTATTTTCTTTCTATTATCCAAATTCTAACAATTTGAAAGGTCATTCCATGAGTCTAAGATTTAATGAACAAATTTTTCAATGCCAAGAATTGATAAATCCCACCAATCCTTGTACCTGGAATGTAAATTGATACTTTTAAAGAAAGTTGGAAAATACATAACTATGACTGGGAAATTTACCACAAGACAACATAAATCACATTCCGCCTTCAAATTAAAATCCCAATCCAAATTGCAGAATAGCAGGATCTGGGCAAAAAAATGAATAAAATTTCATTATATGAGATCATGTTACAAGGATGGTGACCAAATTCCATGTCAGTAATAAGGACAGGTTTACAAGAAGTTATCTGAAGAGCTGGAACTGAATTGCATCATGCAAGAAAGAATCTTATACTATACCTGTAGTAGTTGCAAATATTTGGATTCAGATTAAAGATGGATGTGGCCTCAATAAGGAGGAACAGGCTCCTGCTCATGAAGGAGTGGTTTTGAGTGATGTCTATGACTATTTCACCAAACTACGACGGACCCTGATACTACAACTGTAGAACACTGAAACAAGTTGTTACACTCTCACTAACGCTCCGAGCAATTTCAACTTCTTACTATTTTCATAGCCAAACAGCAACAGTTGCTCTTGAATTAAATTTCACAGAGCATACGTATAGTTTGTTTTGGAATTATGAGAGTCAATTTACCAGCTGTTTTTAAATTATACTTCCAAAACTGTATACAATCATAAATGCAATTCAATATTCAGTCATTATAAATGTGAAAAAAATATCAAAACCTGCACTTCATTACTTACAAGAAACAAATCTATCCAATGAACCACATTAAAATGAACGTGGCAACTGGGGTGTGGCAACTGGAATGTGGTGTTAACATCAGTGTTGACAAGTTATATTTAAGGAAGATCAAGGAAATATAACTAGGGTATTAGGAAGAAGATGGAAGCAGATATACCATGCACAAGAAAATAGGGTTAATCGAAGCTGAATTTCCAACATGTAACTATAAATGTCACAAGTCTTAATATAAACAAGTTATTAAATGGAATGACCTTCCATAAAGTATTTTCAAGCAATGATACACATGTTGCCACTATTAGTGAGTATGTTGTTTTCAAAATAGAAAGGAAGGATATACATTGTCACCTGAAACTACTTACAGAAACAGGAGGCATGACAGAAATATTGGGAGCAGTAGACAAGAGTTTCTTCATCAAGCTGTCCTTCCCCTTCAAGGCATCTGTCATGTTGGAACTCGCACACCTTAAACAATAAAAATAGACTGGGTAAATATATTACAGTCAAAATATTACAGATAAAATAACTATATATCGGAACTGGCAACAAATGAAAGTCTGATTAACTCACAGTATATATGCTTACAATTCCTAACTCTTTAGGTATTGAATCAAGTGTTTATATTCTAGCTTGAATGGTACAAAGATTTAACATTTCCGCTAGTCCCTAAATAAATTTCGAATCTACCAAAAGTATCACCAAATATTTTTCTTTCACTATTTCAAACACTTCCTTACGAATGTAGTAATTGAGCAAATGCAGTAAAATCGAATATATTTTTTGTCATTTATTATTTCCTATATTCTTAATAAAACACACTTCTCCTTTACAAAAAAATCTCGTGGACAAGATATTTTCTACACAACTCCATTTAATCACAAGGGATCAACATAAAAACAAACACTGTCTTGAACAATGCAACTTCTATTCTATACCCACGCCATTTTCACCATTTTCCGACTTGTTTTTGAGCATTTGCCGTGGCTGTGCAAGGTTGCGTCACAAACTTGGTTCACTTAGTTCAGCCATTTGTCAACAGAGTGAGTTATACTACTGAACATTTTGTATCAATATAATTGCCACTAGATAGCACTGTCGGCAAAATGTCCAAAAGTATTAAAAAATCCATTTTTTAAACAGCCACTAGTAAAAGCTATTCTTTTACGGCATGCGTAGCGTGCTAAAAGTTAGAGCACTTGTGCTAAAAGTGAGACGATGCTCACGTATTCAAATAAACCTGTGAATGCAAAGAAAACAAAATAAAATGGTCTGACTGCATCAGCTACTTCTGATCTTCATGTACCAATAGTTGATTTGTAGACCTACACTTGAAATTAAAAAAAAATGTTAGGCTGTTTAAAAAATAGTGTACAACACACGCGGTAAAAGTGGTTTTATTTTGCTCGTAGGATTCCGCCACTCGGCCTCAAGTCGTAAGCTTTCCTACTCGCAAAATAAAATGTTACTTTTACCACTCTATCATAAATATTAATTTCAGCCATGTAAACATCGATGAGGTCAGAAAAATAGTTAATTGACACAGATGAATCTTCCAAAACTCACAAAATTCTATAATTATTATTATACATAATTAATAGATGGAAAATGGTGCTTGACGTGCGCACAGGGGAAGCCATGGTCTCCAAGAAATTTTTTAAGGTGCCGTCCATAAATTACGTAATGCAAATTTGGAGTACTCTGAATATCCTCTTCTACCCCTATAACGTAGGTTTGGACTCACCTTAAACAATTATGTAACGCTTGCGACAAGAACCCCCTCCGACATTTAAAATAAATATATACACATATACATACACACATACATAAAAGTTGAACAGAACTAGTTGGCAATGCGGCGTGTTCCTAATTACACAATTGGAGACAATTTTTGTATGAAGGAAGGACGCATAAGTGACAAAATTTCTGACAAGCCATTCACACGTTGTTGTGGACGACGCGTGGGCCTCGAGTCTACAGCGCCGATTTAATTGGACTCTAGAAAATACGACAGATCAATTTTGGATATTTTCTTTGAAAACTAATAGATTCAATGAATATAAAATTCATAAAAAAATATTTCCATTTATTGTAACAAATTATACATCCTAACTTTTTAATTTAAGTTGTTAATATTTAATAATTTTGTATACTAAGACTTAAAAAGAAGTTATTTCAGTAAATGTTGACAAAATTGAAAAATAATATCAGAATTACGTAACAATGAACTTTAACCTCTTCACCCCCATGTAAAGCAGCTTAACGCTGCATTTTTCTCCTTTTTCTTGAGTGTTACGTAATTTATCGAGGACCCCAAAGGGGCCCAATACATCCATACAAAATTAAACATATTATAAATGTGTCAATTCCTTATTTTACCATTTTTGAGCTAATACTTTGGTGAAATGATACACAATATTTGGGAAAGAAGCTCTCCAAAACCATCTGGCAAGCCTGTAAACAAACGGTTCAACACAAAATCAACTGTACTTAATTAACATTAAATTTATCATTCTGTCTCCTTGTAGAATGTGTCATTTATTTAATAGAAATGTCATACTAAGTTAATAAAAAAGTTTAATGGAAAAAGGGGCCCAGAGGGGCTCTGAAATGCAGTTGGCCTTTCTCTTGTTTTAGGCTGCGCGCACCTACTGTCCTTGATTCTTGTTAGTTGTGAATAACAGACTGACTATGCAAAAAATATGGTAATTCCGTCAAAATACGCAAATAAACCAATAGTAAAAGCTAATTGTCCCGTTAGTGATTTAAATTATAACAAAATAAAATAATTATATGTTTACTACGCACTAATCTCTTTAATATTAAAGAAATATCGCCTTAATTTCACACATGACGTTTAAGCGAACTCCAGCACGGTATGTGAAATATTTCTACTTACATCTCCAGTTACATCCATGTCGGTATTTAATAACATCATTTCGACTACTCTGAGGCGATATTTCTCTTCATAGTAGATTAAAAATACGAAAGGAACGATACTAATTTTAGACTTCCAAAAAGCGAGCTTTATACTTGCTACACAAAACAATATATCTTGGGTGATTTTGACGGGTTGTTTATGTAATAAGCTTGGAAATCGCTATAAGCGTAACTTCAAAATCAATTGTTGTATATAATTGAATTTTACGGAGCGTTTAACAATAGGACAAGAGGAAAATGAATTTGCACTAAAAGCGTAACGCGGCATTTGTTGTATTGCAAATATACGAGTGATATTACAAGATCTATGCTACTACTACTGAATTTGAATACATAAATATTTCAGTCGCTTTTAAAACCTATGAGAAAGGCCAGTGTACCTAATATGTAGCAAATAATTAATTCAAAATTCAACAATCTGCTAATCCCCTACAAAACAAAATAACACACGTAGTAAAAATAAATGATTCCAGAAAATAACTGAAAATAAATTACATTCGTCTTTTGTTACTGATCTCTTTTTTTAAATTTTTTTTTATTTTTTCGGTTGCAAACTTTCGACATTTTTTCAGCAGATTCCTTCTACAAGTATTTCTCAATAGAAAAATTCATGCAAACGCTATTTTTGAAATTTTTCTTTGGAAACGAAAATGAATCAACACACAAATGAATTCGACAATCATTTTCACATAATGACTATTTTAATACGTAAAATATTAAGTAGGTCTGTAATTAAGTAATTCTAAATACGTCTGTAAGTAGTAAATTTATTTGTGATTTATTCGCGCTTGTAGAAAAGTTCGCTCCCGGGAAAGGGCCTAAGATTAGTGAACTGAATAAGTTGTGATAACTCCACACCGGTCAAAACAAAAACCTCCTTTCAATAGTAAGGAGTCACTCGAACTCGTGTTCCTCTAGTCGGTAGTCCTTACATGTAATTAGTAAATTTATAAGTTAACGAGAACTGGTGGCAGAGCATTTATTATTACATATGCTGTAGATTTGCTCTGGACAGATAGAATCCGATGACTGGAATCACCTCGATCAGGTTTTGCGTCCAGTGTTCCTGGTTCATTGGCAAATGCTGGGATGGCCTCTTTGTTTTGCTTTTGGACACAAATGTAACTTCACAACGTTAATGTTTTTGTTTAGCTCGCCTTTTGCTAGTTCTGGTTGAAATTTGGAATATAGTCGGGGGTTGGGTAGCTATTTTGTTAGGAATACTTGTACAGTAATACGAAAACGAGTGATGCTTCAACAGCATACACTTTCTTCCAATATTTCTAACTTTTGCAATTTTCGAAAATTCAGATTGCAACGAAAATGAGACAGTCGTTTTTAAAGCGTCCTTTGCTCTATTCGTGATACAAAGTTTAAGTAAATTGAATATTTTTTGGAAAAAACATCAACAAACAAATAAATTGAATTAACTTTACGTAGATATTAAGCGAAAACTAACCATTTTTTCAAAAAGCTGTACACGACTTTTTTAATTACCTATTTTATCAGATACGATTTTATTTAAGAATTAAACTCTGTAATCAGTATGAACGTTTTCAATGACAATGTTTGTCAATAGAGAAAATGGGGCCTACGCCATTTATTAAAACTTCTTTTGCTCTATCCAAGGAAAAACTGCATCTGTTTTTAATAAAACATTTGATTAAAAATTATTTAATTTCACGTAAATGTACATGAAAAATTATATTTTCGAAAACATACATAAATTTATTTTAAGATCTATCTTTCGTCATTATATTTTTTTAAGAAAAAATGATTTTATTATTATAATTCTACGAAAACGATGTAAAGTTTTGACCTTTTGCCATTTTTGAAAATTTAGAGATTTCAGCAAAATTGAGACCTAAGACATTTTTAAAGATTATTTACTCTATGCGAATACAAAGTTAAATAAAACAGTTGGAACCATTTTTGTGAACATTTTGAAACTGCTGAGGCCCCGAAATCAAAATATCAATTTTCAATACTCATGGCTTTGAATACGTTCGGATTGATCGGGGAATATTAGTTTTGGAGAAAATCGTCTGAATGATTTAGGCGCTAGCGTAGACCACAGACATACGTTTAAGAGTCAATCGATTTTTTGGCATTACTCGTGCATCTTTTCTTGACCGATGGATAAGAAATACGGGTAGATTGGGGGTATTAGTCACGAAATCGGCCACTAGATTTTATGAAGCAATGTCAACCTCTGGAGAATCAATTTTGCCTTCGCAACTTTCCCAGGAGTTCGAGGTATTTCCTGTGATGGATCTTCACCTGCTTTGGTCATTTTTTCAGATTTTTTTTGTGAAAATGATGGACAGAAGTTCTCCTTATCAACAGAAAATAGTTTCCATTTCGCACCAGTGAAGACTTGTTTGGAGTGTTGTCATCAGTGCTGGTTGCGAGCTCTGCCTTCAACTGTTTATTGTGCCAGAGGGAGAAGCAAGATCACAGGCCAAGAAAAGTTGTGCGACTAATATGAAGGTCCCACAAAAACGGGAATTCTGACCTATGCCGTATAGAGGGGGGGGGGAGGATGACCCCCCCAAAAAGGCATAGTGTTTTCGTTTGTTACCTTCCTTTTTTGGCAAAATTGATTTAAATATTTATATCAGAACTATGTAATTATTTAAAAAAACAATATTGTATAGGCAAAATACATCTTTACGATATTATCATGTGTGTTTTCTGAGCATATCAGGAGCACCACTGGGTGAAGTATTGTTTGGGTAGTTTCAGATCGCTTCGAGTTTATGGCATCATCGCCGGGAGCGTGATGAATGTTGGCGAAAACGCACCTAACACAGCAGAGAAGGAGGGCGGACTCGCGTTCAGTGGTAATAGCTCGCAGATGTAGACTTTGCTTGACTATCCGGCGCTGGTTGAATATATATGTCATGTCTTAGGCGCTGAGTAGGGGTAGGTTACGTAGCTTAATAATGTAGGTAAGGGTGAGGGTAGGTTATCCGCAGCGCGTACGGCATAGTATATATGTGATACTTAGGAGACGGTGAGTAGGTAGATAGATGATAAGGTCGTATATGTTTTGCTATAGGTGTGAAGTAGCTACGGTGTTATAGTCCTGTCTATGTGTCATGTAGTGCGTTAAAACAGCGCCCGATTTTCGCCCTGACGTATGTCGCAGAATGGCGACCG